GTTCTTTATGGATGCGAAACTTGGCCGCTTACATTAAGGGATGAGCAGCGTCTTAAGGTTTTTGAAAATAAAGTATTGCGTAGAATATTCGGACCGAAGAAGGATGAGTTAACCGGAGAGTTCAGACGGTTACACAACGCCGAATTGCGTGAGCTGTATCCGGGTAATATAATTGAGGTAATTTCATCGCGGCGAATCAAATGGGCTTGTAAAGTTGTTGGGCTTAGTAACGAGAGAATTCCTAAAAGGTTAATATGTGCGGTGCCGAATGGTAAGCGTCCGAGGGGTAGACCGAAGCGAAGGTGGGAAGATTGCATTAAAGCCGATCTGAAGGGACTGGGTTTGGACGGCGAACGGTGGAGGGAGGTGTGTAACAAGCGATTGGTGGTGTCGGCATCGAACCTTCGGGTTTGCTAAGCCTTATTATTTATTTTATTTTATCATTTTATTTGTATATATAGTATTATATTCTGTCTTATAATATACTATTTATATTATTCATTTTAATAAACATGAATACTGCCGAATTCACTTTTACTAGTATAAATTTTTTTTATACTTTCACTTTTTACTTTATTTTTTTTTATCTTCAGGTTTTTTTATTTTCATATGAATGTAACTTTTTTAATTTTTTATTTATATTAAAGCTTTTTATTATTTTTGTATACATTTATTTTCGCCATAAATATGTTTACTTTATTTTTTTTATCTTCAGGTTTTTTTATTTTTATAGAAATGTATCTTTTTTAATTTTTTATTTTTATCGAAGCTTTTTTTATTTTTGTATACTTTTATTCTCGACAGAAATAATTTGATTTTAATCTTTTTTACTTTTAGCACTCTTTATTCTTGTATAAATTATTTACAACTTTATTTGGTTATTTACCAAAATGTATCAATGTATTTAAAACAAGGGGATATTTATATTTTACAGACAGGGGAATTTATATGCTATAAATTATATTTAACAGAATATTTATTTCGAAATATTGGAAATTCATTACTTTCATCTCAACTTTTATTTTATGTATGCAATTTTTTAATATTTTTTATTATTATTTTTAAACGGAGTATTTGTTTAAAAAAAATGTTATATCTTATCCTTTATCTTCGATCCTTTTCACCAAACCTCTGCTTCCCAACTCTACTATAATGACTAATATTCTGAATTCCTGTCACATCAACGCCCAATCCCTTATTGCACACTACGATGAATTCCAGAAATATTTCCTTGACAATTTTTACCATATAATAGCAATATCTGAAACCTGGCTAAAACCTTTTATCCCATCCTCCCAGATTTCATTACCAGATTACTCGTTCCTACGTCACGATAGATCGCATCGCACGGGAGGTGGCGTCGGATTATATATCCATGACAGCCTTAAGGCCAAAATCCTTCGACAGTCTCCTTATCATGATTTTCCTCACATAGAATACATGTTCGTTGAAATCACCTCGCTTTCCTCTCCTCTGTTGTATGCCGTAATTTACCGCCCTCCTCGTGTTCCATTTGACAACCTCTTTGAATCTTCCCTCATTAACCTGGTCTCCAACTACACCAATATTATTATTACCGGTGATTTTAACGTGAACATGCTTTCACAATCTCCCAAAAAATTTTTCCTTACCGACCTGTTGTTTTCTATATTCCTACAACTCCATTGATCCTATGGTATCCACCCTGACCTCAAACCTACAATCTATATTAGAAATCCACGCTCCTCTGAAAACCAAAACCTTACGCCGTCCCACTGCGCCTTGGCTGACCCGTGAGATAAAGGAAATAATGAGGGGAAGAGATGTAGCAAGGCGCAAATACCGTCGAACCCGTCTAGCTGTGGATTATGTGTCTTTCAAGGAGCTTCGCAATGGGACCCAATCCGCAGTCCGTCTTGCTAAAACCACCTACTTCCATAATGCCCTGTCCAATGCTCCCGACCCCAAATCTAAATGGAAAATACTCCGCAACCTATCCCTACCAGAGTCCATTAATCGTAGTTCCTTCGATCTTTCTCCAGATGATCTCAATAACCATTTCTTATCCTTTACTCACTCTTCCTCTCATACTTTCGACATTAAACATCACAAATTCAATCCTGAAGACTTCTTTTTCTCCCACGTGTCCTATGATGAATTACTTTCCACCATCATAAAATCCCACACCAATGATTATGGTCCCGGCAATTTTCCTGTAAAACTAATAAAATCCACCCTTCCTGACCTTATTCCTGTTCTTTATCATATCTACAATTTTTCACTGCAGAACTCCATATTCCCATCCTCCTGGAAAACCGCCCTAGGAAACCTTTGAATAAAATTGCGAATCCTACCTCACTGCACGACTTCCGTCCTATCCAACCTCTCAAAGCCGCTAGAACGCCTTGTCCAAAATCAGCTCTCAAACTTCCTAGAGGAACGTTCCTTTATCAACCCATGCCAATCTGGCTTCCGACCCGGCTATTCAACGCAATCTGCTCTCCTTAAAATAACCCATGACCTACAAAACTCCATTGAACACCAAAACCTTACTATCCTCATCCTTCTAGATTTTTCCAAAGCGTTTGATACAGTTGACCATAACATCCTTCTTACCAAATTGCAAAACCTTCCTCTATCCAACAGTGTCCTGCATTGGTTCAAATCCTTCCTTTCCAATCGATCTCAGTATGTAGTAGTCCCTGATCAACCTCCTTCAAACACACTTCCCCTCTCCTGTGGTGTCCCTCAGGGTTCCTCTCTCTCTCCTACTCTGTTTGCTTTTTACATCAATGATCTTCCCCTCCAGATCCGTCACTTCCGATACCACATCTATTCAGATGATTTCCAAATATACCTTTCCTTTCCGCCCTCCGACCTATTATCTGCCACAGAAAAACTTCAAGAAGACTTAGATGGAATTTGTGACTGGGCAAGAACAAACAAGCTGAAGTTGAATGCGGATAAGACAAAGGCAATCTTAATAGGCTCCAATCACCTCCTTAAAACTGTCCCTACTATTCCAACTCTGTTCCTATATAATAACCCCATCAAATTTCACCCCACCATCAAAAATCTTGGAATAACCATTGATCAAACGCTTTCTTGGAAAAATCATATATCCAATATTTCCCGCAGTACCATTTCCATCCTAAAACGTCTTAACTACTCCCGTCACCTATTTCCTTTTGAAACCCGTAGGCTCCTAGTCACTTCCTTAATTTTTCCCCACTTAGACTATTGCCGTACGGTATATGGGGGCCTCTCTGGGGATCTCGAGGCGAAACTAAAACGTTTGATAAATTGCTTTGTACGATTCATCTTCGGGATCCCAAGGGACGCCTCTGTTTCCCATCTTTACGCGGAGTTAAATTGGCTTTACCCTTCCTACCGTCGTAAGTATTTCCTGGCATCCTTCCTCTTTCAAGTCATCCAATCCCACCGTCCCTCATACATCTCCGAGCTCCTTCAATTCAAATCCTCTGTTCGTTCCCGCAATACTCGTTCCCGGTCTTCTGATTTATACATAAGGGCCCACCGAACCGCTGCTTTCTACAAATTATTCATTATCCGATCCTCATCTCTATGGAACTCCATCCCTTCTCATATCCGTCAATCTAATACCCTTCCCACCTTTAAATCCCGCCTGTTCAATCATTTCTTATCCATCCAGTCCCCATAAAATCGTAAATAGATACTACTGAAAATATGTACATAAGTTATTAGTTCGTTCTTCATTATTTGTTCTCCAATTTTTGTTTATCTATTTTTTTTTTCTCTTTTATTATCAACTGATCAAAATTGGAAAGCAACTTATATATATGTATATATATATATATATATATATATATATATATATATTATTTTTTTAACCAAGACTGTTCAATTACTCTGTATTTTTATTTATATATCTCTGAGGCTCCTTAGCCCTCATTTCTGTCTTCCTGTATTATTCTAAAGGGACTCGTCCCAGAATAAATAAAGTATTATTATTATTATTATTATTATTATTATTAAATACATAGGCTCAAGAATTTATTTTATGTACAAACATTACAAAGGATAATTAATATAATATAATACATTGTAACATAATTAACATAACATATTGTAAAAGGTAGAATATAATACTATATGTACAAATAAAATGATATATATAGTAAATATAATTTTTTTAATAAATACATTTTTTAAATTAAATAAGTGTATTCATTAATAAGGTTGTACGAAAACATTTCCATTCACTTCTGTAAATTTAAGCGTATTCATTTTAGTAAACGTGAATACTGCCGTATTCACTTTTACAGGTATAAATACAGCCGTATTCACTTTTACAGTCGTAAATACGGCCGTATTTATATTTACAGTCGTGAATACGTATCTTCTGTATTCATATTACTTTTTATGAATACGAATATATTCGTATTTATATTCATTTGTACCATAAATATAAATGGTATTCGTATTTATCCATGACTATTTGTGGTGTTTGGTGAACTAAAGATATGTGAGTAGGGCGTTCAATACTACGTCACACCCTCCAGCAAGTCTAGTGGGCCCCTACCTCCAGCAAGTCTGGAGGTCCTCTCCCTCCAGAAATTCTGGAGGGCCCCTCTCATTGTTGGTCAGCGAGTCCATCGGACTTAGCCGGGAGGAACTTCCAAGGAATTTCCACCGACCATCCCCACATCCGCCACCCGTGGGACGCTCCCCATACGCGGTAATGAGCCCGCGCGAGGATTCATGGCGCAAGTTGAAATATAGGGATTTAAATATTGGTACGTGGAACGTAAGGAGTTTAAACACAGCAGGGGGGCTAAAATCGGTCACGAATGAGGTGAATGGGTACAATTTGGATGTCGTGGCTCTGCAAGAGGTTCGCTGGCCAGGGGAGGGCTCGATGAGGGAAGGAAAATACACTATTTGGTACGGAGGAAGCGGGAATCATTTGTCTTCCCATTGCATATATGTCACTGGATAAATACCGAAAATGAACAACAAATAAACAGTATTATGATTACCTCCTTTGAGAGTAGGATAAATGTTGAAGGAAGAGTCTTGCAACCATGATGTAATGGATATAAACTCTTTCATAAAGTTTGGAACCATGCATCTCAAGACAGCTGTATTTCCTCGGATGTAGGACTTAGCTACTTCTACTTCAAGCTCCAGATACTGCAATACAACTGAAAAAGTACGAACGGTTTGATTAAATTTGAGGAGAGCAAGAAAACAAAATTATCAATTACCTATAATATATATAGAATAGAATAGAAAAAATTAAAAAAAAAATCAACTTTTTTCTGAGACAAATTTCTTTAAGAATAACAATACAAATTATCGTTAACATCTGACCAAAAGACCTATTACAAAAAAGAATAAATAAAACATAAATAATAAGACTAGTACATTCATAGCTATAAAGATGTATTAATGAAATCAGATAAGAAATAGGGTTACAATACTGTAATATAGCAGCTAAAAACAATAAAGTAAAAATAACTAAAATTAGCTTCTGGGATTATGTGATTAGAATCTATGATCGGGTACAGGCGTTTGAGGATAAGTTTTTCCAGGACTTTGCCCACGATGGGTAAAAGAGAGATAGGACGGTAAAAGGGTGGGTATTCTGGTGGATTTTTTGGTTTATGTATCATTTTGATAATGGATAGTTTCCAAGGGTCAGGAAAATATGTGGATCGGAGTACAGCATTATATATATATATATATATATATATATATATATATATATATATATATATATATATATATATATTATATATATATATATATATATATATTATATATATATATATATATATATATATATATATATATATATATATATATATATAAAACTTAAGATATGAATTATAGTTGGATAATAGGTCATGAAATACACTTAGATGACTTAAAACAACTTCTTTTTATTCCATTTTTTCAAAAACGTTTCGATCCCTGTTTTTTAACATAAATAATGGGATCCTCTTCAGTTCTGGAAAAACAATACCTATCATCGGTATAACAATCAAAATTTTTTTATACATTTGAACAATAAAACCAAATTTTTTTCCTTACTTTTAATTGAGCATCGATACTCCAAGCCGGGCTGCACGCTGGCAGACTCAACAGTACCACCACAAGGACATCAAGCTACTGAGTGCCGCAGCATGCAACCTGATCCTGGAGTCCGAGAATAATACCGATACCAACAATAACAGTCTACATAATATTCTCTGTTTGGTTATAATTCAAATTGCCAAATTAAAACATTAAAATTACTGAAGTAATGAATTAAAACAATCTTACATGTATTTTATACTAACGTCAAATGCTAAAATTTAAAATAGATTACAATAGAATAAAGCCTGAAGAGCCAGTACTTACATATGAAATTACAATAATAAGTCAAATTAATATGTTTCCTACTTCTGTCCACTGTCTATTGATACCACTAAAATTTATATATACATACACACACACACACAAACATACATACATATATATATATATATATATATATATATATATATAGTAGTCTCGTAAAGTTTCATATGGAACTCCGATGGCATTCTCTGCAGAAGAGGCAAAGATCTGCAGAAGAGGCGCGACGCTGCCCGAAGACGTTTTAGACGTACGAGGCTTGCAGATGACTACCAAGCGTTCAGGGTGCTTCGCAACTTGGCACAGACAAGGATCCGGCGTGCGAAAACTTCCTACTTCCATAAAACCCTTTCCTCAGCTCCTGATATCAAATCGAAATGGCTACTGCTTCGTAAACTTTCCATTGGTAATCCTTCCAGATCCCCTACCGCAGCCTATCCTGTATCCTCCGATGATTTAAACTCTTATTTTATATCTGTCGCTAATACCTCTTCTCTACCTTCCTCTTCTGGCTTTGCTCAAGAGATATCCTTTAACGACAATAACTTTTATTTTTCCGACATTTCTCCCACAGACTTGTTAACCGCGTTAATGAAATCCCACACCAATTCCATAGGGCCAGACGGCATTCCTGTCAAATTAATAAAAATATGTCTACCTGAAATCCTCCCAGCTCTCCTTTTTATCTACAATTTCTCCCTTCAGAATTCAGTATTCCCTACCTCTTGGAAAAAAGCCATTGTCCTTCCTTTAAATAAAAAGCCTAATCCATCCTCACCCGAAGATTTCCGTCCAATTTCAATTCTTTCTAACCTCTCAAAGCCTCTTGAAAGACTGGTGCAATCCCAAGTCTCCAAGTTCCTCGAAAATTCCAACCAATTTGATCCTCTCCAATCTGGTTTCCGTCCCGGCTATTCCACACAATCTGCCTTAATTAAAATTACCAACGACATTCAATCTGCAATAGATGATAGAAAATTAACTGTCCTTATTCTTCTAGACTTCTCCAAAGCTTTCGATTCCATCAACCATTCCATCCTCTTCAACAAACTAAAATCATTATCTTTCTCCAATAGTTCCATCTCTTGGTTCCAATCTTTCCTCTCCCAACGCACCCAAGCAGTCTCCATACCCAACCAACCACTATCTGCTTTCCTTTCTTTATCCTCTGGAGTTGCCCAGGGTTCAAGCATATCTCCTCTCCTTTTCAGCTCCTACATTAACGACCTACCTAAATCAATTCTCCATTGTTCCCATCACCTTTATGCAGATGATTCCCAGATCTACCTATCCTTTTCTCCCTCTGAGTTACTGGGGGCATTTGCCAAGATTCAAGAAGATCTTGATCGAATCAATGCCTGGGCAAATGTAAATGGATTAAAGTTAAATGCTGCCAAAACTCAGGCCATCGTCATTGGTTCCAAGCCCTCATTAGATCCCATACTGACTTTCCCATATTACACCTTAATGACCAGCCAATTTCCTTCTACTCCTCTGTTAAAAATTTAGGATTTTTCATAGATCAAACCCTCTCCTGGACCAACCATATTTCTCACATTTCCCGTCGGACAATCTCTACCCTTAAACTATTTCATCGCTTCCGCCATCTCCTACCTCAACATATCCGTAGACTCCTAATTTCCTCTCTCATCTTCCCCCACTTTGACTACAGCTGTGTGGTGTATGATGGCCTCTCGGTGGAGCTCCGTGATAGACTGAAAAGATTAATGAATAGCTGCGTAAGATTTGTTATTGGTGCCCCGAGGTACTCCCATGTCTCTCACCACTACACTGAGTTAAGGTGGCTCTACCCCTCCTTCCGAAGACAATACTTTCTAGGTACGTTCCTCTACCAAATCATCAACAACCATCGTCCTTCTTACGCCTACAATCTTCTCCAGTTCAAATCCTCAGTCCATTCCCTGTCCACAAGATCTCGACCTTCTGACCTTTACATGCCTTCTCACAGATCTGCCTCATTCCAAAATTCCTTTATTGTTCGCTCTGTCAATTTCTGGAATTCCCTCCCTATCAAAATTCGACATTCCCCCTCCATATCCACATTCAAATCCCTCCTATTCCAATTCCTATCACAAAAACAGTCAGATACTTGCTAACCATTCGAGCGGATTTTAATAGAGAATTTGATATATTTTTATTTTTTAATTCTTTATTTTTTTCAGAAAAGTGTATACTGGTCTAAAGACCTTTAAGTTTCTTGTCATAGTATTAATGGTTTTGTATATAGTTTAGTTTGTTTTGTATATAGAGTTTTTACCTTATATTTTTTTTACATTATTTCTTTTTTTCGATTTATTTTGTTTTGGCCAGATGTAATATTTTAATTTTGTTCTAATTTGTTATTCTCAAGGGACTGTGTCCCAGAATAAAGTTATTTTTCTATTTCTATTTCTATTTCATTAGCTGCATATCTAATGGAACGTCCATCATCAATAAGTGCCACACCACGCGCAACATCCTCAGCACTAAGAGGCATTTTTAAACTTAATATTGAAAAAAGTATCAAGTGTCATGGCCGCAACTGCAGTTCAATATTCATATCGTTCTGTCTTTGTTACATTGTCATCTGGTTATCTTATATCCCTTTCTGAGACTTGGTAAACAGAGTGGTTATAAACAATTAAACATTTTTACGTTATAATTAGTGAGGTGAGTGACTTTTAAATAACAATTAGTGACATTAAATTGATACTCGTCTGGTAGAGACAGTTAACGTGGCAGATAATTCCCCTCAGCGGGTCTTATCTTGGTTTTACGTCAGAAAATCGTGAGTTCGTACCTAAGACAGTGTGCATAATTTTTTTTTTTTCTTCTCTCTCTCTTTAATTATTTTTTTTTACGAAGACTTTTATTTTAGTAATTTACAGAAAATGTTTTATTTAATATTTGTATATAGCTTTGTAAATAGATTAGTTATTAAGTATTTATTTTGTATATTTTCTTAACCAGTGTGGTTCTAGCCTCTGAACAGTTAGCGTGTAGCAGTTATACAGCCTTAGTTTAATTAGTAAATTTAGTGGTTTTTACACGGAGATTTATTGTATAAATTAACCAGACTCATCTATTAAATGTGCTGATTCCACTGGTGAGATTAAATATTTATTTCAACTGGAACTTGTGCCGAAAGGAGCGAGGAAAGTTAGCCAGGATTTTAGTCGGCTTACAGGGACCGTGTTAGACATTTTAGTTGATATGGGGAGTGGGGAGCGCATGCGTTAGATAAGGTCTAGTTCTAGCATCTATAAGTCAGTAACCCCAATGTTCAGGTTGAGGTTACGTCAATTTTTATCACAACAATTGACGTATTTTTTTTAAATATTTTTTTATACATTTTTCTATATTTTCCATTTTATTTTTGCCAGACAAGATGGTTTCATGCCCTATTTGTGGACAGACAGTTACCAGAGAAGACAAAAAAACATTGACATGCCCTATCACTACATGTCAAGCCATTTTTCATGGTAAATGCCTTAACCCGGACGAAGGTGAATTCGAAAAATTAAGGCCATCAAGGAAGAATTGGGCATGCCCGAATTGTGTAAAAGCCCAAAAAAGTACACAATTGAGCGATAAGGGCTCTAGCCCTGCAAGATCAGCTCCTCAGCAACCAACTGCCTCCGACGCCGCGTCACAGCTGCTCATGACTGCCATTCGAGACCTAACCAATTTATAATGAATTAATCCTAGTGAGGTTAAGGGATTAAAATTCGCCCTCGATGCTAATGCCAGCGAGGTTAAGGAATTAAAAACAACTCTGGAGAA